ATTGAGGGAGGATTGGACTTGTTGCAAATCAATGACACTCCCTCTATAGAAGTTCAAAAGGATGTAGATAGCACCAATGCTCAAGAACAAGTTGAACCACCTAAAGCTTGGAAATTCACATCAAACCATCCAAAAGAACAAATCATTGGGAGCCCTTCAAAAGGAGTTATAACTCGCTCAAAAGCCTTGAGTGAATGTGGTAATGTTGCATTTCTATCTCAACTAGAACCTAAAAAGGTTAATGATGCTTTAAATGATGAGTTTTGGGTTTTGGCTATGCATGAAGAATTAAACAATTTTCAAAGAAATAAAGTTTGGAAGTTAGTTCCTAGACCTAACAATGCTAGTGTTATTGGTACAAAATGGGTTTTTAGAAACAAACTTGATGAACATGGATTTGTAACTAGAAATAAAGCTCGTTTGGTTGCCCAAGGATACAATCAAGAGGAGGGCATAGACTATGATGAAACCTTTGCACCGGTTGCAAGGTTGGAATCTATTAGGATGTTTTTGGCATTTGCTAGCTTTAAAAATTTCTATTTCAAATGGATGTCAAAAGTGCTTTCTTAAATGGTTTTATAGAAGAGGAAGTGTATGTTGAGCAACCCCCCGGTTTTATAGATCATGCTTTTCCTAATCATGTTTACCGGGTACAAAAAGCTTTATATGGGTTGAAACAAGCTCCTAGGGCTTGGTATGCTCGCTTCTCTAGTTTTCTTATTGAAAATAGTTTTTCAAAAGGAACAATTGATAACACACTTTTTGTGAGAAAAAAAAATGATTTTATTTTAGTTCAAATATATGTGGATGACATCATTTTCGGTGCTACTAATGAATCCTTGGGGTTGAAACAAGCTCCTAGGGCTTGGTATGCTCGCCTCTCTAGTTTTCTTATTGAAAATGGTTTTTCAAAAGGAACAATTGATAACACACTTTTTGTGAGAAAAAGGAAAAATGATTTCATTTTGGTTCAAATATATGTGGATGACATTATTTTTGGTGCTACTAATGAATCCTTGTGCAAGGAATTTTCTAAAGTTATGCAGGATCACTTTGAGATGAGTATGATGGGAGAGCTTACATTCTTTCTCGGGCTCCAAGTCAAGCAAACTAAGGATGGGATCTTCATTTCACAAAGCAAGTATGCGAAGGAATTGGTGAAGAAATTCAAGTTGGAGAATTCTAAGCATGCGCCTACTCCCATGAGTACTAGTGTTAAGCTTGATGCGGATGAGAGTGGTGAAGATGTGGACCAAAAACTATACCGAGGTATGATAGGTAGTCTTCTTTATCTCACCGCTAGTAGACCCGACATCATGTTTAGTGTGTGTGCATGTGCACGTTTTCAAGCATCTCCAAAAGCATCTCACTTAATTGCGGTTAAAAGGATCATTAAGTATGTTAATGGAACTTTTAACCTTGGTTTGTTTTATCCAAAAAGCACCACTTTTGATTTATATGGTTTTTGTGATGCCGACTTTGCCGGATGTAAGGTAGATCGCAAGAGTACTAGTGGAACATGCCAATTCTTAGGAAATTCCCTTGTTTCTTGGGCTTCCAAGAAACAAAATTGTGTTGCATTGTCCACTACGGAAGCGGAATACATTGCCGCCGGCCTATGTTGTGCTCAAGTCTTATGGATGAAACAGAGCTTAGTTGACTATGATTTGAATTTTCAAAATATTAAAATCTTTTGTGATAACACAAGTGCCATAAATATTTCCAAAAATTCGGTTTTGCATTCTAGAACTAAGCATATTGACGTACGCCATCATTTCTTACGCGATCATGTAGAGCGACAAGATGTATCCCTAGTATTTGTTGACACAAAATCTCAACTAGCGGATATATTTACTAAGCCTCTTGGAGAGGATGATTTTTGTCGCATAAGAAATGGTTTGGGCTTATGCACTATGTGAAAGTTCTACATTGCTTGCTTGTTTAGTTGTATTTTGCATTTAGTATTTCTCTTTACCCCATTTTTGATGGTGACAAAGGGGGAGAGAAATCTCCTCATTTGTTGCATATATTTAGGGGGAGCTCATAGATAGGGGGAGCACCTATCTATAAGCTATTTTATTTTTGCTCCTATATAATGGTTGGTTGTCATCATCAAAAAGGGGGAGATTGTTAGCCCTTATGTTTTGATGATGTTCTTACAACCACCATTATCGGTACTAATGGCTTATTGAGTGTAAATGTAGTAAGTTCATTTATCAAGCTCGTTAGTGCCATTAATGGAGGATGGATGGAATATATGCTACAACGATGATATCCAAAGGAGGAGGAGGCCAAGAGATGAAGCAACGTTATTTTAAGAACGACAAATTCGAATACAAGCTTCATCCGATTCAAGCTATATCAAAGCTCAAGTATTGTTCTTTATATATGAGGATATTAGCTTTCTTTTGTTTTTTCTCTCTAGTGCTAGAATGTAGGCAAAGAGTTACTGAGGTTACTTGAAGCTATTGGGAATCACACACACGATTTCATACTTAGGTTTTTAAGCGTTTTTCATAAAATACTATTTCTCATAAGTATGAGGACCTATCTGCAAAATTCTTTTTCTAAACAGTTTTTTTTAGTATTAAAAACATTTTACAAAGTTTCAGAATTTTCAGAGGTCAAATAAATATTTTGCAAATATTTCAAGTTGGTCAAAAAAACTGTTTTCTGCAATATATCAGAAAGCGGTCGACCGGTCCGGCCGACCGCTCTCATGGTCATTCCTTACTATTTTCCAGAGAGGTCGTCGGTCGACCGGTACGGTCAACCGAAATCTCAATTTTCAAATCGGTCGACCGCGCCGATCGACCGACGATGGCTCTGTTTGTTTTCTAAGTTTTTCAAAGAGGCTCGCGGTCGACCCGACGTGATTTTTCGGTCGACCGAGTGTTATTTCGCGGAAACGCGAAATTTTCTTCAGTCAACCGCGTGGACTTTTTCCAAACGGTCATTTAGCCTAGTTAATATGTTCTTACACTTAAGCTGGTTTGTGCAGCAGTCTGACGATAAGGGTCTGAAAGGAGATTAACTATCGCCTATTTGGGAAGAATTGGGTTTGTTTTAAATGATTCAATCTCTTCTATAAATAAGCCCCAGTCTCTCTCTTGCCCTTAAGGCCCTACGTTTTGCAAGCAGAGTTCTGCTAGTTTTCCTGAGAAAAATTTTCAAAATCTGGTTCTGTGTTTTTCTCATTCTGGTTTTGGTTGTGTTTCACTCCCAACTTCAGTACTCTTTCTCCTTTGCTATAGGGGCTTGTGTAAAGAGGAGTCTTGGCATCTTTTCTGTACTGCTGCTGGTGAGTGAGATCTGTGTAGATCAAACTGTTGAGGGAGTTTGATCTGTGTGAGATCAAACTGGTGTAGTGGCAGAGAGATCCAGTGTGGGAATCGCTGTGTAGACGAAGTTACGCGGCTTCGAAACGGGGTGTGTGAGTGGATTCCTCCTCCGAGAGTGGGGAGCGGGGACGTAGGCCAGAGGGCGCGACGCTCATTAACACGATCGCCCGCGTCAAGGATAACGAACTCCTAAGTCGTATCTCTGCTTAGCTTAATTGCTTTTACTGTTTTGGCTGGTTTGCTTGTGTTTGATTTTTTATTGCATATTAGAGGCCTCTTGACCCTAATCACGCCCCCCCCCCCCCCTCTCGGGTCCAACATCCCGCGACCTCCACCGTCCCGGATCAAAACCGTGATCTCCATGGCCACATCCCCTCCTCGATTTTGCTGCACGTACATCGCCTTGCCCTCCTTGATAGTTGCCTTAGCTTGTAAGGCCTCCTCGAGCGGCTCTTGTTTCTTCTTCTTCTTCCGTTGTTCATGCGCCTCAAGAGAACTCGCGAGATCATCGACGGTCATCTCTTCCAAATTCCTTGACTCCTCAATTGCGCATACAACATTCTCGAAATTCTCGGTAATGACCGTAGAATTTTCTCTACAACCCTTGCATCAGTTAGGGTTTCTCCGTTGTCTTTGAGTTGATTCACCACTGTTTGCACACGCGTGATGTAGTCGGATATTCCTTCTAACTCCTTCATTTTCATGGCCTCCAACTCCCCTTGAAGAGTTTGAAGCAGCACTTGTTTAACTCGGTCAGCGCCCTTGAAGACCTTTTGCAAAATGTCTCACGCTTCCTTCGAAGTTGCCGCACCAGCAATTTTCTCGAAACCTGACATCCACCATTCGAACAATAAATAGAGAGCGGTCTTGTCTTTCATACGCGTTTCTTTCAACGTCTTTATCTGATTTGCCGTCTGATTAGTTGTTGCTGCCGGCTCTTCATAGCCGACTTCGACTACTTCCCATGCGTCTTGCGCACCGAGAAACGCACGAATCTGAATACTCCAATTATCATAGTTCGACTTGGTGAGTTGTGACAGCAGTATCTGCCCCAGCGATGTACTCCCTGAATTCACCATGGCTCTGATACCAATTTGATAAAACATATTGCTTTTAAGGAAGAGAAACAAGAACACAATTTGCCTTCCTATTAATTCTTAAACATATATTTTTTCTTCTCTTCACTTTTTCTTAACCAAATACAACTCTATTAATAGACTCTTAAAACAGAATTTTAAACATCAGCTATTAATTCTGACTCTTCGTTACTGCCATGGCTTATTATAGAGAACTCCAAACGAATGCCCCTTCAACTTCTCATTTAATGTCGCCTCAAAAAACTAAGTATGTTTGAGATTATTCTTTAACATTGACTACAACAAGACTTGCATGCTAGTTCTTTGAAATGATGGATTTTTCTGCAAATTGTCGATCAAATTTGAAGTACATCCCAAATTTCTTCTTCTTGTTTTTCTGAAATTGCATTCAGAGCGTCCTAATCACATTTTAAAGTTTGCCTGAACTTCTCAATTAGAAGTGTTATGGGAAAACAGCTCAATCAAAGGTGGACTATAATAGTTTCAGTTATACTTCGTGGATCACTCATTGAATGAGAGTTAAAACAAATTTTTGAAATTTTGAAAAAGTTGGGTATCTTACGTGAAAAATACCCCAAGATTGAACAGCATATCTGAGCTTCTCAGACTCATCGTCACATTGAAGCAGTCGACGAAGATCGATTATGGGGATGTCAGATGCCACTGGAGGAGTGCAGTCCGGCCGGTCATCCTCCCGAAGAACGTAGCGCCCTTGAGGTGCCCGGCCGGTCTCTGCCAGTTCTTGAACCAGCTTTAGTTCAAGTCCCTTCTCACTCATCTTCTTTCTTTGATTCCTGATCAAAATGTTAGGAGTCAAGCAACTGCCTAAATAGCCAAGAACGTCCTCGTCCGGCTGCCGCTTATCTAGAATTGTCATTTTCAGAGGACAAAGCACTTGTATTATTGGAGGTGACGCCTTGCGTATGTCATTTGCCTTGAATATGACAAGGCAAAATTAAAAATTAAGTTCCAACAACCAATTCGGGAAATATTCTATATATTAACCAAATTAGCCGGATTTATTATAAAATAGTGTTGGGATGATGATGCAGAGTACTAGGTGAGTAAGTTAGAAGATGACAGTTCTTGAGCTCCTCATGACTTTGACTATTTGTAGGCGGTTTGAGCGAGGAACTTGGCTGTGGTGGGCTTGAGTGAGATTAGATGGTGATCTCCTTTTTCGCGATACCCTGTTTTGGTTAGTGAATTTTCGTTGCTATACTCGCGTGTGGGTATAGGTCAAAATATCGAATCTCTCTAAGTACCGGCCGTCTACATTCAGTTTTATTATTGCTCTTCTTTTGTGTAAACATCTTTTCTATTGAGCTGTCTACTGTACAACAGGAGTAATCTGTATCGATATAATGAATAACATAAGTTTGAGGCGCTTCACACGATACACGCGTGATTTTGCATATCGCAGTGAGAAATCAAAATTTGAACCCCAGATTTCCTAGTACTTGTAGAAAGAAGAGCACATCACGTTAATATAACAAAGTAAATGCGTACACCTTATTGGCAAAGAAGTTCAAAAATGACTTTCTACTTTTTAAATTGAGATTGAATTTATCCAAATGGTTAACCTGTTAGGTATTAGACAACTTTTTATTTAAGCTTATCACTTCTATTTCATTCTTCAAATGCAGGATTATACCCACATATAAAATACCGACAAAAACTCTCTAGTTGACATTCTTAGTCATGTCGATAAAACATAAACAACTTATTTATATCAATGCCTTCGTCTGGCTGAAATCTCCTAGTCCTAAATAAGCAATAGAGGGGTGATATAATTTTGTCCACCAACTTTTTTTATCCCTTCATTATATTTTGATATTTGTGCTACATATCAATGCTATCTTTGAGATTTGTACATTGATTTGTATCATATGTTAACGCAAATCTCAATACAAAATCAACTTAAATACATTTGCCTGAACTGATATAACAAATTAATGATTGTGCACTACCTTTTCAAGTCAAGACTTTTAAAACTTAATTTCAGCACACCATCTCTTTTTTGGAGAGTTGTTACTCATATAATTGTTTTTTTAATAATAAGACCGTAAAAGATGGCGATGACAATGAGAAATAATACAGCTCCACAAAATTTCCTAATCAAACCTTAACCATTCAATAGTCGTCTCTCGTTGAGTGAACTGCTAACTAGAAACACCAAGAATAACAAATAACGAAGAACTTGCGGAATTCAACTTCAAAATTTTCTAATCAAACCTTAACCATTCAATAGTAGTCTCTCGTTGTTTGAACTTCTCAAAGATGGCATTGACGAATTCCTTCATCTTTCTATGCAAACAAGGTCTTATTTCACTCTCCAAGCCTTATGCTGGTTCGAATATTTTTCCTGTTCAAGCGCATAAAATATTGCTATAGCTATCTGTTACACGCTGCCAAGCTTGATGAAGCTTCAAGAAATGGCCACGTGTTATAACTAGTCAACCGATTTGCATACATTTGAAAGCACGATCTGGATGCAAAGTCAACTGACCTATCTCACGACCCAAATTAGAGACAAAAAACGTGTTAGGCCTAGGATCTGTCAGGAGCCCAAATTCAAAACAAAAGACGCGTTCCCATCTCAAGACCCGACACTAGGCGTTCTGAATAGGGGAACAACCTATCAACCTCACATAGTTTGACACATCAGTACACAAACCCGGCCAAATTACCAACGTGCCCGCATAAATACTCTATAAAAAATGGTAACTTTCACCATACTAAGGTACGCACAAAAAACCCTAAAGATTATATTATGCTTTTCTCTTTAGATTATCAGACTAGCTACTAACTTGAGCATCAGAGCGCATGCCAAAGGAAACAACCTCTAGGGTCTCTATCCTCTGTTACTCTGTGCAGGGAGCTGCGGTTAAACACCTTCAAAGTAATCAGCCCAGAGGAGATTAAGGGACACCTAAAATCATCCTTACCTTTTCTAAACCACACACAAATATCTCCACATTGGCACAATTCTTTCGTTGGGATTTGCAACCACCTTGTGTTGAAATTTTAGCTACCGTTAATTAATTTTAGGCTTCATTATTTTGGTTTTATTTACACAATTTTTTTATGTCATTTGACTTTAAGAATTAGTAGCATTTATTACAATATAGGTATTTGGATCCATATAGAGAGCTCATGTATCTTCATTTTTACATCAAACAAAAACCAACAAGTCAAAGCATAGCATAACTTTAGCTTTTTCCTCTTAATGTTGGCATACATCAAGAGAACAATTTTCTTCTCTTGATTAATTTAGTTGCTTTGTTCCTCTAAAAGCCTCCACATAATTTTTTTACCAATCCCAACATGTGGTATCAAAGCCTCGTCATTTTTGATCCACGGCCTTAAGCAACAATGTGTTGCAGCCTCAACTTCCTAAGTTTAATGGGAAGATTTATTAACAGTGGAGTATTCAAATGAAGGTCTTGTATGAATCACATGATCTATGGTGCATCGTCAAGACTGACATTGTGGAACAGGTTGATTAAGCTACTCTCTCTCAATAACATCTCACCAAGTTGAAAGAAACTTGGAAGAAGGACAAGGCTTTATACTTTATCAATCAAGTGGTAGATGAAGTCATTTTTGAGAGAATTTCTACATCAAAATCAGGGAAGGAAGCATGGGATACTCTCTATACATCTTACCAAGGAGAATAAAAAGTCAAATTGGTAAAGTTGCGCCCCTGAGGTGCCCGGCCGGTCTCTGCCAGTTCTTGAACCAGCTTTAGTTCAAGTCCCTTCTCACTCATCTTCTTTCTTTGATTCCTGTTCAAAATGTTAGAAGTCAAGCAACTAACTTAATAGCCAAGAACATCCTCGTCCGGCTGCCGCTTATCTATAATTGCCATTTACAGAGGACAGAGCACTTGTATTATGGACAAATTTTCAAAACCGACCCTTTGGGGTTTTTAATTGCAAAAAACGACCCATTTCAAACTTATTTATAAAAACCGACCCCAGGGGCTGAAAACAGGTCGGTTTTTGAAAATTTTTTTCCCAAACTTCACGGGAGTTGAACTCCCGTGAAGTTTTGTTATGAGAAAAACTTCACGGGAGTTCAACTCCCGTGAAGTTTGGGAAAAAAAATTTCAAAAACCCGACCTGTTTTCAGCCCCTGGCTGAAAACAGGTCGGTTTTTGTAAATATTTTTAAAACCGGTCGTTTTTTGCAATTAAAAACCCAAAGGGGTCGGTTTTGAAAATTTGTCCATAAAAA